AATACTTATTGGACTATATTTTAGGCCCTTATTGTTTTAACAAAAGAATGCTATATTTTTTGGGCTTAATTTGAGTACTTAAGTTGTAGGATTTTGTTAATTGACCCAAGGTAATAAATTTCAGATTTAGTTAATTAGTTTATATTAACTAATTAATTTAATTTCTAAATTAGTTAATATATTAAACTGAATTATTATTTAATTAATATATTAATTTATTTGTTTTTTTAAATATTAATATTAGTTAATTATTTATTTTCTAAGGAGGATGCTTATATAAATCATTAAATTGTTTTGATGATTTAAGCGTCGTAATTTGAGTAAAGTAATTATTAAGACGCTTTAATTTAGAGAGATGAGATTATAAGATATGAAAATGTTTTTTTTCGGGACGCCATCGAGTTTTAGACTTGGGGCTTGACTATAGTTAGTCGGGATTGACCGAGTTGACCAAGGAATGATTTTTGACACGTTTGACCCATGTGGATTTTAATGATGGAGTCAAATGAAATTACTTGAGGCATATTAGGATGTTCGGATATGGAGTTTGACTTTAGGTCGGGTCGGATTGACCGTATTTGACTTTTAGAAAAATTACGCTATTAATGAGATATTATGGTATGTGTAGGTTTTAGGTTAAGAGCTATCAATAGTCAACCTACTCACAATGAGGTGAGTCTTCATGAGACTTACAATGGGATGCATACCTAAGTATAAATATTTTCGAGCATTATATGATTTATATGGTAATGTGTACATATGAATGATGTTTCAGTTTACATACATGATATATTTTACATGTATGTTATTTTATGATCAGTTGCCTGCTATGTATTTATTTTGTTTTCAAATAATTATAGCATGTTATTTTATATGAAAGTTTTCTGATCAATTTTAGCGGGTGAGCATTTGACCAAGTAAGTCACATGACAAGTGGCACAACCCCGTAATGAGTGTCTAGATAGGTGTAGGTCAGAAAACTCAGGGAATGCCAGTGACTAAATGACTCATACCCGACAGACAATTTATGAGATCTCTTTTATTTCAGTGTTGCATGTTTTTCATAAAATGCATACTATTTGGTACAAAGTTTACAAGTTGATATGTATGATGTGAAATGATCTTTACTCACGCAAACCATGAACTCACTGAGCTTTATAARCTGACTATAGTATGCATCTCAGGGACAGAAGGTTTCAGGTTGGACAAAGAAAAAGAAGGGCATACATAGAGACTTGTCTGGTCCATTTAAGTTCAATATTTAGGTGCAATCATCTATGATAGATAAATTTGTAAAGCAACCCGGTATGGGACGGGCTGACATTAACTTATATATTTATTCTTTTAAAGTCTTCCGCTGTAAACGGTCTAAAGTTTTAATTTTGCCATTATTTTTGGAGTGCTTTTGGAGAATCTGTTTTAGATTATGTAACATTTCTCATGGTAAAAATCTTGGGCGTTACACCTTCATTGACCAAAGTATTGTATGAATTGGGCTCTCATCACTCATAGTGTTGTCCGATATGTATCTTCATCGATCAAGGTATTGTCTGGATTGGACTCTCATCGCTCACAGTGTTGTCCGAAAAGGATGTTTTGAACTTTAATTATGAAATAGCGGTGTAACCGCGATAGATGAAATGACGGTGTAACCGCGATAAATGAAATGGCGGTTACGATAATTTTATGATAATTTTATCATTTAAAACTCAGGTTTGAACTGTGTTAAAATGTTACGGCAGATTTTACTTGCAGGAGGGAATTTCACTCACTAGACCTTCCGGTCTAACCCTCAGTTATTGTAATAATTTATTTTGCAGGTCATCCAACGTCGAAGGATTAAGACAAAGGGAAGATATGATGGTACGAAAGATTTTGTGGTGTACAGTGATGCCTTGAAACTGGGTTTGGGTTGCGTATTAATGCAATATGGAGCTGACATCAGTAGTTTTTGCTTTGAAACTCTGGGGGCATTACTTGTATGGGACTAAATGCCAAATTTTTACTGATCATAAAAGTTTGCAGCATTTTTTCCATCTAAAAGATTTGAATATGACAAGTACAAATTTACACATTTTTTATGTCAAAGTTACCTTGCAATTAATGTTAAATATATGCTTAAAAAGGGCCAATTTAATTTAAGTTAATCTAACTATATGAGACCATTGAAGTTGAGAAAAAAATGTGTTAATTAGTTGTTTTATGGTCCAAACAGCAGCCAAACAGTCCTGTAGCTGTATCCAAACAGCACTGCTGCAGTAACCAAACATCACTGCTGATGTCTCCAAACAGCAGCCAAGCTGCATCCAAACAGCAGCCAACAGCTGTTGGTGCATCCAAACAGCCTAGCTGCTGCCAAACAATTTGTGTGTCCAAACAGCCCTATTCAGCCCAAAAAGAAGAAAAAAAAGAATGGAAACAGCAACCCATAAGAGGAAGCAGCAGCCCATAAGAGGAGACAACAACCCATAAGAGAAAAACAGCAACACCACCCCAAAAGAGAAACAGTCGGTCTTTGTTTTTGACATCGTGCAGCAGCAATGTGGGCATCGAGAGAGAGAGAGAGAGAGAGAGAGAGAGAGAGAGAGAGAGAGAGAGAGAGAGAGAGACGGGAGATCGTGGAAAGAGAGATGACGATTAAAAGGAAGAAGTCGATTGAGGAGAAATGGAGAAGAGAGAAATCGAGAGGAGGAAAAACGAAACCAGTCGATTGAGGGGTTATAGAAGCTGTCGGCTGGGAAGCAGTAGCAAACAAGAGCTGTCAAGAGGGCTGTCAATTGAGAGGGTTTTTAGAAGGAGAAGCTGTCGATCGAGAGACAGAAACGAACCAGAATTCAGGAAGAACTAGTAAACAAATATTCAGATTTTTGGAGTCGATTTTGGATTTCTCAATTTAAGTTCTTCATGCTCTATTGCTTTCTACCATCAGTAAGTTTAATTTCTGTTTCGAATTAGAATTATGAGTTGCTAATTTTCTGTTTCTAGTGATGGGATTATAGCTAATTTGAATTGAATTTTGTTGAGACTTGTTTAACATTGAACCTTAATTGAATTTTATTTGCGTAATTCTTGTTCAGAATCGTTCTTCATTTTTGGGATTTTGGTTTTGAGAAGGATCCCTTGAATCCTGTAGCCTAAATTTGAATTGCTAGTTGTGATTAGGAATCTGTAATTGTTCTTAATATCCACTTGGTAGCAAATAGTGCATCAATAGACAACCAAGTTCATTGATTTGCATTATAGGATTGTGTAATCTAGCTTAAATGTTCGGGGTTTCCGTTTATTAGTTAGGATTGGTGCTTATTTGTTACTTAAGGCAATTGGTAGGTTGAATTTTACGTCCGTGACTAGAATCAACTTAATCAATTAGGAACTAATCTACCAAGCTTCTCGTGCTAGTTTAATTATAAAGACAAGCGGAGTGTCTGGCACGTGTCGACACTCACGACCGGTCTAAAATCTATTGAGAAAATGTTTTTATACAAGTCAATAATACATGATTTGATAAAGAACTAGTTATACTCATCACTAGAATTTATTCGTTATTGTTTAAAGTTCTCAATTTATTTTGCATATTTAGCTTTTTATAAATCTTCCAACCCCCCCTCCCTTTTATATATAGTGTTTTATTGTTAATGAATTTGCACGCGGTTACGTCTTGGAGTTACGGTTAACACCGAGTCCCTAAGGAGACGACCCTACTTATCCCTATCACAAGTTGTGTTTAGAGATAATAGGCTTATTTTTATAAAATTATATTATTTGCCGGACTCGACACCCGTCAAATTTTTGGCGCCGCTGCTGGGGACTCGGCATGTTTAACTGTTTATGCCAAGATTGTTTCGTGCAGGTTCACCATTGCCAATTGATCCGAAAATTGAGAAAACCGCAAAGAAGCTAAGAAAGCAAGCTAAGCTTCGAAAGAAGCAAGGCGCGTCTACTTCTTCACCGGTTCTCAATATTTGGAAAGATATTGAGCTGTCATCTGATTCAGAAGGCTAAACGGAGGAAGAAGAAGAGAAACCTCATTTTGAGCAAGAAGAACCGGTCATCGAGACCGAAGAGGAAATGGTGAATCCCGAACGCAGTTTAAGGGAATGGGTAGCACCCAATGTCGCCGAACAACCTCTTTGCATCACCTATCCGGTGGAAGAGGTAAGTGCTGAACTTAAAACTGGTTTAAAACACTTACTACCTCGTTTTCATGGTTTAGCTAACAAAGACCCGTACAAGCATATGACCGAGTTCCACATGGTATACTTGGGGATGAAGCCACAAGGCACGACGGTAGAGAATCTCAAGCTGAAGGCATTTCCGATCTCCCTAGTTGACACAGCTAGGGAGTGGCTTTTCTACTTACCACCGGGATCCATCACTACTTGGGCACAAATGGCGAGAAAATTCCTCTACAAGTACTTTCCCGCATCCAAAGCCGCCGGGCTTAGAAGAGAGATATGTGGGATCAAGCAGAAGGACATGGAGTCATTTATACGAGTATTGGGAGCGCTTCAAGCACATTTGTGTAAGTTATCCTCAACAAGGTATTTCTGATGAATTACTAATTCAATATTTTTATGAAGGTTTGCTACCGATGGAAAGAAAGAAGATGGATGCTGCGAGCGGAGGAGCTATAGTGAACAAGACGCCAACTCAAGCGAGGACCTTGATAGATACCATGGCGGAAAACTCCCAGCAATTTGGAGTACGAAGTGACGTTGGCCGAAACGCTAGTGAGGTACATGTTAAATCTTTAGAAACTAAAATAACTGATTTGACTAACCGTGTGAAACAGATTGCCATGGGTAATATGCCTCAAGTCAAGGCATGTGGATTTTGCTCATCAGTGGCACATCCCACCGATGCATTCCCGACTTTACATGAAGAAGAAGAGCAAGTGAACGCCATTGGGGGTGGAAACTTTCAGAACTCAAACAACTGGGTTCCCGACCCTTTCTCGAGCACATACAACCTCGGTTGGAGGTAACATTCGAATCTGAGCTATGCCCCGAGGCAATGACAAGGTCAGCAATTTCAGCAAAGAGGTTCATTCCAGCCGCGTCAACAATTTCAATCTCAACAATTCCAAGCACCGCCAGGCTTTCAACAACAACATCAACCGAAGGCACCATTTCAGCTGGGTGCCCAACATCAAGTGTCACCGCAAGCTCCTAGTGGCTCAGGTATGTCATTAGAGGATGTAGTTAATTCTATGGCTGCTAACATGGTGAAATTTCAACAGGAAACTCAGACAAGTATTCAGGACCTTCAGGCCACTGTTGGCCAATTGGCAAACAAAGGTAAATTGCCATCTCAAACGGAGATGAATCCGAAGGCAAATGTGAGTGCCGTCACTTTGAGAAACGGAAAAGAGCTTCAAGAGGTTGGAAAGAAGAAGAAAGAAAAGGTTCATGAGGAAGAAGATGAGTTAGAAGTCAAGACATCCACTTCGGGTGCAAAGGATGTCAAAGAAGAGGATTCAAAGAAGAAGACACCCGAAGTGATAGTTCAAGCACCGCCATTCCTGAGCCGGTTTGAGAAGACAAAGCGGGAGAACGAAGAGAAAGAGATCCTTGACACATTCCGAAAAGTTCAGGTAAACATCCCTTTATTAGATGCAATTAAGCAAGTTCCTAGATATGCTAAGTTTTTGAAAGAGCTTTGTACAAATAAAAGGAAACTAAAGGGTAATGAAAATATAAGTATGAGTCAAAATGTGTCCGCTGTTTTGCAAAAACAGTTACCACCAAAGTGTAAAGACCCGGGCATGTTTACCATACCTTGTAAGGTAGGTAATGTCTCGATTAATCAAGCTATGTTGGATTTGGGGGCATCAATTAATGTTATGCCATATGCCATTTACTCATCTTTGGATGTACGACCCCTAAAGCTAACCGGTGTGGTAATCCAACTAGCGGATAGGTCTATTTTCTACCCTAAAGGGGTATTAGAGGACGTGCTAGTTCAAGTGAATGAGTTGGTCTTTTCGGCAGATTTATATGTTATAGATATGGAGGAGAAAAATGCCTCCAAGGCCGAAATGCTTTTGCTAGGTAAACCATTTTTGAAAACCTCTAAGACTAAGATAGATGTCCATAGTGGTAGTTTGACCATGGAATTTGATGGCGAGATGATTAAATTTAATATATATGATGCCATGTGATATCCGAGTGATGTTTCATCTTTATGCTTTGTTGATATTATCGAGTCTTTATCTGATACTATGTTTGATCTATCTAAGGAGGATATGTTAGAAGTGATTCTAGACAAGGATTTAACGAGTGGAAGTTTGAAAAAGCTTGCTCAAGAGTACAAGCTTGATGGTGATTTTGCAGAATTGGTGTCCTGGATGGAGAAAGGGCGAGTACCAAAGCGAAGGTATGAAGTCTTTAAAATAGATTTACCCATATCTCACACTAGACTTTTGCCTTCTGTTGAACAGGCACCCGAGCTAGAGTTGAAGACGCTACCACACCATCTGAAGTATGCCTACTTGGGAGATAAAGAGACTCTTCCGGTGATCATATCCGCCACACTATCACCGAAGGAGGAAAGATAGCTTGTGGATGTTTTGAAGGAGCACAAGAGGGCGATTGGATGGTCCATCACCGACATCAAGGGCCTTAGTCCCTCACTTTGCCAGCACAAGATTCTATTAGAGGAGGAGTACAAGCCATTCTGAGAGGCGCAAAGGAGGTTGAACCACCGATGGTGGAAGTTGTCAAGAAGGAGAAACTCAAGCTTTTAGATGCCAATATGATCTACCCAATATCTGATAACAAGTGGGTAAGCCCGGTCCAGGTAGTCCCTAAGAAAACTGGCATTACTGTGGTAGAGAATGCCGAAGGTGAGTTAGTGCCCACCCGTGTTCAAAACGGATGGAGAGTATGTAGTGATTATCGTAAGCTTAATTCATCAACTAGAAAATACCATTTTCCCCTTCCATTCATAGACCAAATGTTAGAAAGGTTAGCCGGTCGTACTCACTATTGTTTTTTGGATGGTTATTCAGGTTTTCATCAGATACCGGTGGCTAGAGAGGACCAAGAGAAGACCACATTCACATGCCCCTTTGGTACATTCACCTACCGAAGGATGCCTTTCGGTCTTTGCAATGCACCGGCGACATCCAACGATGTATGATGAGTATATTTTCAGAATATGTAAAGAATATTATTGAGGTTTTTATGGACGATTTCACAGTTTATGGTGATTCGTTTAGTTCATGCTTAGATAACTTGACCAAAATTTTAAAGAGGTGCATTAAAACTAATTTGGTTTTAAATTACGAAAAATGTCACTTCATGGTCAACCAAGGTATAGTATTTGGTCAAGTTATCTTGGAAAGGGGTATAGAGGTTGACAAGGTAAAGATCGATGTTATTAAATTCTTTCCTTACCTCTCGAGTGTTAGAGAGGTCCGTTCTTTTCTTGGTCATGCAGGTTTCTACCAGCGTTTCATTAAAGACTTCTCGAAGATCACTCGACCCCTTTGTGAACTTCTACAAAAAGAGGTAGACTTTGTCTTTAATGAGGTATGTAAGAGTTCATTTGATTTGTTGAAAGACAGACTTACTTCTGCACCCTATCATCTGACCTCCAAATTGGCAACAACCATTTGAGATTATGTGTGATGCTAGCAATCACGCTGTGGGGGCGGTATTGGGACAGAAAGACGGTAAGAGCTCTTATGTTATCTATTATGCATCACGATCACTTGATAGTGCATAATGTAACTACTCAACCACTGAGAAAGAGTTACTAGCAGTTGTTTTTGCTTTAGAAAAGTTTAGATCTTATCTGCTTGGCACTAAAGTGATTGTCTTTTCAGATCATGCCACATTGAAATACCCGCTCAAGAAGAAAGACGCAAAGCCAAGGTTGATAAGGTGGATTCTCTTACTCCAAGAGTTTGATTTGGAGATTAGAGATAAGAGCGGAGCTAAAAATTTTGTTGCCGACCACCTTAGCCGGCTAGTATTGGATGGAAAGCCAAGCCGACTCACTGATGAGTTTCCAGATGAGCACCTTTTCTCCGTTTCAGGCGAAACCCCATGGTATGCAGACATTGTTAATTATTTGGTTTCAACGAGCTTCCCAAGTGAGTTATCTAGACCCGATAGAGAAAGATTAGGAGAGAGGCTCGTCTCTACATGTGGGACGAGCCATACCTTCGGAAATATTGTTCGGACCAAGTTATCCGGCGATGTGTGCCCCAAGGGGAGTTTCAGTCTGTTTTACAGTTTTGTCACTCCCATGCTTGTGGGGGCCACTTTGGCCATAAGCGCACATACCGGAAGGTACTTGAGGGTGGGTTGTATTGGCCGACCCTTATGCGAGATTGTTTTCGCTTTTGTAAGAGTTGCTAGAGGTGCCAAATGACGGGAAACATTAGTTCCCAGAATCAAATGCCCTAATTTCCTATGCTAGTATGTGATATTTTTGATGTTTGGGGCGTGGAATGGGGCCTTTTTCTGGATCTTGTGGTAATCTTTACATTATTTTAGCCGTAGACTATGTCTCAAAATGGGTTGAGGCAAAGGCCACTCGAACTGATGATTCTCGTGTAGTTGCAGATTTTGTCAAATCTCACATATTTTCCAGGTTTGGGACGCCTAAGGCCATAATCAGTGATCGAGGCACCCATTTTTGCAACAAGGTCATCGGCGTGCTATTCAAGAAATATGGGGTTATCCACCGCATTATCACCGCTTACCATCCACAGTCAAACGGACAAGCCGAGGTATCAAATAAAGAGATCAAGTCCATTTTGGAGAAGACTGTGAATCCCAACCGGAAAAACTGGAGCTTAAGGCTTACTCACGCTTTGTGGGCCTATCGTTCGGCCTACAAGACACCTATAGATATGTCTCCTTTCCATTTAGTGTACGGTAAACCTTGCCACCTCCTTGTGGAATTAGAGCATAAGGCGTATTGGGCAGTGAAGAAATGCAATATGGATTTGGATGAAGCGGGATTGCATAGGAAGCTTCAAATTCAAGAGTTAGAGGAGATACAGAACGACGCCTACGAAAATGCTCGCATCTATAAGGCGAAGACCAAGGCGTTCCATGACTCTCGTATTTCACGTAAGTCTTTCACTAAAGGTAAGAAAGTTCTCCTATATCACTCTAGATTAAGTTATTTCCCGGTAAGTTAAGGTCCAGACGGATAGGACCTTTTGTCGTTTTAACTGTTTTTGAGCATGGTGCAGTAGAGATACAAAGTCTATCTACGGGGAAGATTTTCAAAGTTAACGGCCATAGGCTAAAGTCGTTCTATGAAGGCTTTGATGGAGGGGATTTAGAGAAGGTAGCTTTGGACACGCCAAGCTACAAGAATTGAACCGAGAATGGTCTAGCCAAAGACATAAAAGAGAGGCGCTGAGTGGGAGGCAACCCACGAATTTCCATTTCTTATTCTTTATTGCTTTCATTTATTTAGTTTGCTTTTAGATTCTCCAATTTCACCCTTGGATTTCTATGTTCTCAGGTTCTTCCCGAATGTTGGACGCTCGAAGAGACGCACCCATCTCCACGGATTCTTACAAAGTCTATCTACGGGGAAGATTTTCAAAGTTAACGGCCATAGGCTAAATTCGTTCTATGAAGGCTTTGATGGAGGGGATTTAGAGAAGGTAGCTTTGGACATGCCAAGCTACAAGAATTGAACCGAGAATGGTCTAGCCAAAGACATAAAAGAGAGGCGCTGCGTGGGAGACAACCCACAAATTTCCATTTCTTATTCTTTATTGCTTTCATTCATTTAGTTTGCTTTTAGATTCTCCAATTTCACCCTTCGATTTCTATGTTCTCAGGTTCACCCCGAATGTTGGACGCTCGAAGAGACGCACCCATCTCCACGGATTCTTACATTGGGAGGTCACTCATCAAATTAGGGGAGTTTTCTGTTCCTTTTCCTTCATTTCTTAGAGTGTCCTCTACTTATTGCATACCTTGAGGACAATGTATGAATTAATTGTGGGGTTGGGGGTTATTTGCATGAATTGGGTATATAAATGGTTTTAGGGGTCAAATTTTTGCTTTTTGCAAATTTTGTGCTTAAATGAGGGTCTTCGTCCATTTTGACAATGTGTTAGCATGGTTTTATTGAGCTTAAATTGTTGATGACGATAAGTTTGGATGCATGTATAGCATGATTGAGCTTGATTGATGGCACTTAGAGTCAATTAGTGGTAGCATATCGGTCAAAGTAGACTATTGCTAATCTCTTGAGTTAGTTTTGAACACCGTGAGACTTTGAGCTTATTTAGATTAAATACTTGATATTAGTCTCAAATTCATTTCTTATGTGATTGCGTCATTCCTAGATGTGCATCTCTAGAACTTGATCTTTCTCTCCTTAAGACTACATGATAACTACATGCTAATAAACATGATAAAGACCATTGTTTGCTCATTATTGTGTTAAACCACTAGCCTTGAGCCCACCCCTTATGTTGTCATTATCCCTTTTGTATACCACTTTGAGCCTTAGCCTATTTCGTTTATCGCCCACATCATAAATTAATCCAAACACGACTCACCCGACTAAGCACCAATGGAGTGATTCCAATGTCCCTTTATACTTGAAAGTAGAATTTGTATGTTGGGGAAGGAAAGAAAGAAAAAAAAAACAAAAGAAAAAAAGAAAATTCAAAAAGAAAAAAAAATATATATGTGAAGAGCAAAATTACATCGTCAATAAAAAATAAAATAGACGACGAAAATGACGATACGGTTGAATATAAGCGTTTCATCTCTATTCCCTATCGTTCGAAAAGGAATGACCTTCAAAGATGGATACAAAAGTCCTTTGTGAAAAAATAAATAAATAAATAAAGTGCGGTTGAGTAGCCGGATTCTCCGTTGGCGTTAGGCCTAGTGTCACTTTTCCTATATATTTCCCTACCGTATCCCAAGCCTAGTTTTTCGTTACACCTTTTAAGACCTTTTGATTTATAAGCATGTATTTTATCCAAGTAGTGGAGAGTGAGAGGTTTTTCAAGCTTATGGTAGATACATGTTAGTGTAGTGACGGATTGAGTGATACACTTTAACCCAAGGAGTGAATCGAGTGTTGCTTCGTTAATCCCGTTCGTGAGAGTTCTTGAGATTAGCTTGCGTCTACTTGAATTGCATGTATACCCACATTTCGATGCTT